ACTTTGATTATTATTGACTTACAAATAAGGAATCTAATATTTGATCTTGATGTGAAATATTATTTTTGGGATATTGAATACTTTTCATACTATTTTAATGTATTATATATAACATTTTTTGAAGATAAACAACTACATATTTCTTCTGTTTTCCCTTGACAATCATTTTAATCAATTTAGGATTTAAAAAGCCTGTCTAATCAAGGCACATTTTTCTTATCAAAGAAAAGTAAGATTCATTCAGTAGATTATGCATGAGTCAATTTTTAGAGGAGAAGCAGTCCAGTAGGCAGGTCCACTTTACCAGTTGGTAAATTGGCATCTATAATGACACTGTATAAGGAGTAATTTAAGTGGGCATATGTTACAAAACATTATCTATGTTTTCAGATTTAGATCTTAGGCGATCTGTACCAATCATAGGATTTGGAAGGTCTTCTGATGATGAAAATGCTTAAAAGGTAAATAAATATTTCAATGCTTTAAAAAAGAGTATGAGTCTTGAAATTCTCTTTGTTATTTTAGTATTTCAGTAAATATTGTGTAATGAGACTTACTCACCAATTTAAAATCTTATTTAACAGTAAATGTGATTTTTGCTATGTTTTGCAGACCCTAACGAAGTGCAGAAAACATTTCCTAAAAGGATTAATTTATTGTAGGAAAAAAAAATCATGGAAATTTAATAACACAAAAACTATTGAATTATATACAGTTGAATTACAAAGTTTTTTGTCATTTTTGAATTGTTTATTATTTATGACAAAAGTTAAAGTGGCATACTTCGATTTTCTTAATAAGATCTATTTACAACAGACATTTTGTCGCTTTTTAGATACTGATAAATCAAATTTTCTTAGATTGACCATCTTGACGCCGATTGGCAGACAAGGTTTAATTTAATTCTAATTCTACCTGGGTTTGATTCGGTTAACCTTTCTTTCATTTTACTGAGTTCTACTTTGATTATTTTGATGTCAACAGCAATGTCATGTTTTAAACACCTTCTTTAAAATGAAGTTTTAAGAAATATATGAATGCATTTATTGACATTTGGGCCCTTTAAGACTTACCATACACATAAAAGACCAAACCATACAATATTTACCAAACAACAAACAACACCCTTATATCAATATGAGAATGGTGGCAACAGAAGAACATCAAATTACAATTAAAAACCAATTGTTCAAAGAACAATTGAAGGTCTTTCCACATCAATTTTGTAAATAATTGATGAGAAGCTAATTCTGGTTTACTCAAAGCTACTATTGGCGTCCAATCATAGGTTTCTTCATACTGATTCAATAAACATATGGTTTCTATAGACTTTTGCCTGAAATAAGGGATATAATTGTCAACTTCCGGTTTAGAAAATGTCACTTCCGGTCTCATATGATAGCTTTATTTACACTGATTCCAAAAATATATGGTTTGTATATACTTTTGCCTGTAAAAAGGGAGATAATTGGCTACTTCCGGTTTAGAAAATGTCACTTCCGGTCTCATATGATAGTTTTATTTACACTGATTCCAAAAATATATGGTTTATATATACTTTTGCTTGTAAAAAGAGAGATAATTGGCTACTTCCGGTTTAGAAAATGTCACTTTTGGTCTAATATGATAGCTTTATTCACACTGATTCCAAAAATATATAGTTTGTATATACTTATGCCTGTAATAAGGAAGATAATATGCTACTTCCGGTATATAAAACGTCACTTCCGGTCTCAAATGATAGGTAAACCTATGATCATTCAAAAAATATATGATTTCTAGGTACTTTTCCATGAAATAAGTGCAAAAAATACTACTTCCGGGTCACTCAAGGTCACTTCCGGTTTACTTTTTTCAAGGTCATATGTCAACCAACAGTTTGCAAAAGACCCTATGGCTTTATCATGTACCAAGTTGGAGTAATAATCAATTAACCTTAAATTGAATCATTTCAGGGACAATAACTCCTATAAGATATCATTGGATTATTTCAGACCAAATGTATCATATCTTAATCACAATTAAGCAAACATTTTGCTCTAGTTCTTTAATTTGTAATTTTAAAAGTGACAGAGGAGATCAAATAACAAAGAAAAGTCAAAATTTAGAATATGACCTTGGCCTCAATTTCATTTAAATGAACCAAGGAACTCAAATCAATATACCTTAGGTCTCTATCACTTACCATTCATGCTATACATTTATATATCCCTTATATCAAATACAGAAGGGGAAATAACTCTCATATGGAGTTTACGTATCGCTTCGGTCAAAATTGGACAAAACATCCTGAGGATATAACGAGCAATTTTGTAAAATAAATTTGTCGCTTTCTTTTACGGTTACGGAGGAGATGCGTGCACAAGGAAAACAGTGTTCGGGGAGATAACTCCTACAAAGAAAATTATTTGGTTACGCAGGGTAAATTTCAAAGGCGCATAAACTGTTCGATATCATATACCAAATATCTAAGCGACATATTGCGAAACAAATATTTATCGCAAGAACAAAATTAGGCGGAAGAAAAAAATAAAAAAAATAATCAGAAGAAAACCAATAGGTCTTTCCACAGAAAAGTGGAAAGACCTAATAACAATCACCAATACAGAAATGATGACACTAGATCAACATCAGATCAACATCAGATTACAATAGATATAGGAAGATGTGGTATGAGTGCCAATGAGACAACTCTCCATCCAAGTTACAATTTATAAAAGTAATTCATTATAGGTCAAGGTACTGCCTTCTCTTACAGGCATGATACAGATAGAGACTTGAGTCACAGTCAGATATCAGACTTAGCATCTGGCATTGCCTCTAATATTGCTAATGTACTGAAGCAATACTAATTTCTATTGATTAAAATTTACTAAAATATTAGAAAAATAATACAATGAAGGTATTGCCATACAGATAACTCAAGCATAATGTGACTTTATGCCTTCAGCTATGTGCAAGTGGCCACACCATTTGGCAAACTCTTAATCAGCACAAGTGTAGACAAGGTATGAATTGATTCAACAAAGACCAAATATGGCACTACCAAACTCTTAGTTGACAAAAAAACATCTCATATAGACACTTGAAAGGTAGATCTGGTTTCTGGCATACATCTTGCTTTCAATGAGTTTGGAACCATAGTCATCAATTAATTTTTATGCCTACAAAAGTATGGTGCCTTTTATTTCACGGAAATGTGAAAATGTGAGCAAGGTATGATGTCCCATCTTCTGGGTAAAGGGATTTGTGTTAAACATCCACTTTTAATAGAAGTTGTTTGTAAATCAGTGTTTCAGAGGGCCATATATATATTTACATACATTTATATGTCTTACAGAATCCAGAAAAAGAAAAAATTGAAGAAATACAAGAAGAGATGATGAACATTCAGGTACAATCTGCTTTCTATGACTTTGTAATTTATTCTACTGTGGATTCGATTATTTTTTGTGGGTACCAATTATTATGGTATTAAGGAAAAATTGTGTTTTCGTCAATATTGAATTTTGTTGTTTTGTCATATTCAGCTGACAAGCCTTTAGAAAATTTACATTTCGTTGAATATTTTAATTCATGGTTCACCTATATCTTTAAAATCTATGAAATTTTATACCCGACAAATAATATCGACTCCACAGTAAACGTTGTTGATGATGTTTTTATACAACACAGCAACATTGTATCATTTATTATGCCAAAAAATTAGACGGGAAATTGTTGACTCACACCTTAAACTTTTGGATATTACTTCTACCATGTAATGTTCTAGAGTTATGCCACACAAACTTTCTCAAAATGGTCAAAATGATTTTCAGACAATTAGTTAAGTTCCCTATTGGGTAGGACCTTATAATTTTACTACCTTCTATAAAATGAAGGCCATTTCAATTTTCACTGAACCACTGTTTCAGAATCATACCATTTGAATTATTTGAAGAAGGTAAAAACTTTTATTGATATTTTGAATGTTCACTTTAGAGTAAGACAATAACTATTCTACATTTCTACAAGTAACACGTTCTCATCTAAAATTAGAAATTCTCATTAACGGTCATTTGCCATAGTTCGTACTCAAATAGGTCGAATTATCGCTCATAAGACAAACTTGTGCAAAAACGAGAAAAATAAAAGAAAAACACGTTTTTCTTTTTATCAAGCACTTGAAAATCGTGAATCTGACATATTGAACACCTGGTGTATGCTGAACTGAATTGTAATAAATTAACTTGCATTTCTCAGGCCTGTATGCCAGCATACGAACCTGGTGTATGCTAAAGTCTACATTTGATTTATACATTGTATTTCTCAGGTCTGTATGCCTGCATACGAACCTGGTGTATGCTAAAGTATACATTTAATTTATGTATACATTGTATTTCTCAGGTCTGTATGCCTGCATACGAACCTGGTGTATGCAGAACGGCAAATATTGAATCAAATGTTGTATTTCGCAGGTCTGTATGCTAGCATACGAACCTGGGTGTTTCCAAAAAATCCTTTACTTCAGTAGTTGTGTTTTAACGCTGATTTCAATTTTTTTTTTTTTTTTAAACTAAAAGCCTACCACTGACCTCTATATTTTCTCCCGATAGGTAAACAGAAAAGTGTTAATTTGCAAGACAAACCGGTAAAGCGTTTACTGTTGTAAATCTAAAAATGAAAACCGATTCTCAAGTTCCACAACTATGATCACTTATTGACATGACAGTTATCTGTTTTTTGCAAATTAAAATTACGGAAAAATGAGGCGATCATAATTTGTACAAGGTTCCAAGTTGTTGACAAAATTTTAAATGACGTCAGGGACCTTCTGTCGTAAGGCGGAGGGAATTATAGATGGATAGCACTTGACTTACGAGAGTTACTTTTTACCAGTACACTTAATTAAAATAATAGCAATTGATTACAAAACAAAATGTTTTTTTTATACTTTGTATTGGTAAATGATAAAAAGTCAAAGAACAAATGGACTATTTATCTGCGTTGAATGACCTAATAACACCTTATGTCATGCACTCCTAAATGACGTCATTTACAAATGTAAACAATGTGAATGATCAATGAAGGAGTTCCCGTCACGGAGAAGAAAATGGACAATTCATTGAAAAACACGCTCTATTATCTAAATTTTAATATACCAGAAGCAAAACAGAATGTCAGATACATTTACGGTAAGTAAACCTAGCTGTTTTTGTACATTTTCCACGAATTTCATAGAACACCCTCTTTTTTTAGAAGTGACTGACTGATTTAATACGGCTTGAAAACTATAATACAAGATTATTGATTACCCTAAGTTTGTTTTCTCAAGAGGTTTGTTCACTTCAATCAATTTCATGCTAGACATCATGTGGCGAAATTTACTGCTGTTTTACTATCAAGCTACCCCCCCACCCCCCCACCCCCCCCCCCACCCCCCCCCCCCCCCCCCCCCCCCCAAAAAAAAATAGCCTTGCAAGACGTCATAAGTATTTGGACTACCACCCACCCACCCTTGAAAGTATTTAGAGAAAAAACGAATGGGAAATACGATTATGTGTACATCCATAGTGATGTCTCCTTGCATTAGTTACAATTTTAAGGATTTTAAGGGGTGCTTTGTGGGGAAAATTTAGTTGATTTATTGAGGGAAACAATACTGGAGCGGTCCATTTCTAAGGAAGTCAGTGCCCTCCCCAGCCCATCCCCCTTATGAAACTTCTGGATCTGCCACTGAGTTAAAGTCTCCCGGATTTAAAAAAAAATTGAAATTCAGCCCCTATCCAGATTTTCAAAATGCATGGCCAATGCCCTTCAGTTAACCCATTCAGGTCTTATTCTAACAACTTTTAGGGAAACAAAAGTCCAAGGTAAAAAAGGGGGGGGGGGGGTGAGCGCTCACATGTTAAAACCGGCCACACTAGTCTTTATGTGCCTGTCCCAAGTCAGGAGCCTGTAGTTGAAGTTGTCATTGGTTCATGTATGTCGTATTTCTTTTTCGTAAATTGTTTTGCTATAAATTATTGTTTCTTATTTTTCATGTTGGGTCCTTTTATCATCTGACTATACATTATTGGTTTTTCTCATTGTTGAAGTCCGTACAGTTGCCTATACTTGCTTACATCCACTTCATTTGGACTTTGGTGGATAGTTGTCTCATTTGCAATCATCCCACATCTCCTTATTTTTACAAGGAGGTTGTATGATGTGTCCTTGTTTTGGAAAACTGTACAGTACATTTGTCACATGATCACTGCAGCATTCTGTGATGTGTGTATGTAAGAAGCTGTTACTGTAACAGGGTAATATGAAAAGCTATCAACAAAATCGAAAGACAGACAGAAAATTTTAAAATTTAGTGAGCAATAAAAAACAAAAAAAGAAGTAATTCAAACAAATTAAACATACATTTATTGCGAAAGGATCAGAACAGCACATTTCAAGAGTGTTCAAATTGGAAAAATGAATGTTAATAAGGAAATGACATATTTCATTGATCTTCAATCAGATGCATGGCGACAAAAATACTTTCAAGAGAACGACTTCAATTCAACCACTAAGAACCCTTAGTTCATATAAATTCTAAAATCAGTAATTGTGATAATGTTAAAGTTGTGAAGTGTATAATATTCACACACATATATATATGTATATAATATGTAGTTTCCATTTCTCGTTTCAGCATTTTTCAAACAGTGGCTATACCTTTCATGTAACTATTTATGTGTTGCTTATCATATGAATTGAATTGTAACACTTCTTAGTGACTGGATAGGTTAAACCAATGCCTTCCTAGAAAACTACGACATCAGTGAACAACACCTGACCTTTTGCTGTTCCTGCTAATAAAGTAAAAATGGCTTCACTAGAAAAGGACGACACCTAGAACATGTAGAAAAAGCATCAATTCTTTGGCTTTCCTGATTGAAGGATTTATTTTTACAACTCCAGTGTATAATATGCCATTATAAACAATTTTTACCATAGTATAATGCTATAAATTCACTAATTTTCATATCTATTAGCTAATCCAGTTAGATATCAACTTATGATATGCAGTGAAGACAGATCATTGCAAATTGTTTACATTACCGATAATTAAAATACATGTATGCATGTTTGGCATACATCTTTGTAAAGCAAATTGTATACAGACATCCCCCTAAAAGCATTAAAAAAAACACAACAACTTTGGCATACACCATGTTGACAGGCAGAGATGCAAACACAATGACTTAAACACTTTGCTGTATCACTGTCTATTTAGTATGCATATTGCCAACTATATCAGATTTTAAGACAGTTTCATTTTCTCTCCATCAATTTCTAACCAAGAGTTCCAAATGGTGAAGTTGAAATCATCCCTTCATAAATTATACGGACGCCATCACGAGTTGGTTGACCGTTATGGAATAACCGTTTCACAGATGATATCGGATATGTTTCTTACGTCGTAACTACAATCCCCTTCCCTTTTCATGAATGTGACTTACCGAATTAGACTATTTACCGGGTTTGTAATAACATGAGCAACACGACGGGTGCCACATGTGGAGCAGGATCTGCTTACCCTTCCGGAGCACCTGAGATCACCCCCAGTTTTTGGTGGGGTTCGTGTTGCTCAGACTTTAGTTTTCTATGTTGTTTCTTGTGTACTATTAATATTTGTCTGTTTGTCTTTTTCTTGCCATGGTGTTGTCAGTTTATTTTCGATTTATGAGTTTGACTGTTCCTCTGGTATCTTTCGCCCCTCTTGACACAATGCTTGAAGTTACTAACTTAGAGCATGATGAAAAATAATAGTTTTACAATTTAAAATATGAATACATGTACAACATACAGCTGGTTAGAATGCAAACCATTCAGCTTGCTGAATATCCAATAAGTGCCACAAAATATGCAGAAATTTTAGACTGGAGGCAAACCCTACACAAATACACTAGCTCAATGAACACCAGCTTGGTTTGACAATACTAAAATGTATGTAAAACTATAATTTAATAGAACATAGGTGGGTATACAGGCAATCAAATCTTGTATATATCCAAGTAAAAAAAAAATAAGTGTTCATCGTACACCAGTGTTGTATGCAAGAATACCGTGAACTGAAAATGTCAAACAAATATGCAAACTTTTATGTTCCAATGTGTATAGGACTATAGGTCGGTATGCTGACAATCAAACCTATGAATTCCATTTTTTTACAAGAATTTATTGAAAAGCGGGTTGATATACAGGAATAAACCCCTGAGTGTTGCAGTTAAGAATTGAGAGCTTTCTTTCAAATTCAAACGAAGTTGAAGGCTATACATAAGTAATTCCTTACATCGATTTAATTTGGCCTTTGACATGTTTGATGGAGATACATTTGTATGTCTCTTTCAAAATCATACACATCTCCTTATTTTCTATGGGGGGTTGGTTATGCAAACATAAGTAAATAAGAAATGTGAATACACAGTAAATGCTTAGCATTCAGGCAGACAGACTTGCCAATACAAACATGAATCCAGAATAAAATTTTAGAATCCATGCAGGCATACAAGTACCTGGCAGAAAAATGCCAAAATAAATAATAATTTGAGTCTATATGCAGGCATACATACCTGACAAATACTAATATACGCAGAAAGTGAGAGTTTAGCATACGCCAGGTCGGTATGCAGGCATACAGACTTGACAAATACTAGTATACGCATACAGTGAGAGTTTAGCACACACCAAGTCAGTATGCTGGCATACAGACCTGACAAATTCTAGTATACATTTGTACACATAGAGTAAGAGTTAAGCATACACCAGGTCGGTATGCAGGCATAAAGACCTGACAAATACTAGTATATGAATAGAGTGAGAGTTTAGCATACACCAGGTCGGTATGCTGGCATACCGACCTGACAAATTCTAGTATACACATAGAGTGAGGGTTTAGCATACACCAGGTCGGTATGCAGGCATACAGACCTGACAAATACTAGTATATGAATAGAGTGAGAGTTTAGCATACACCAGGTCGGTATGCTGGCATACTGACCTGACAAATTTAGTATACACATAGAGTGAGGGTTTAGCATACACCAGGTCGGTATGCAGGCGTACAGACCTGACAAATACAAGTAAGAGAAAAAAGACTGAATTTAGCATACTTTTCATTGAAACATCTGAAATAAAGATGGGCAAATGCTATGTTATGTATATATTTCAAAAATGGCATAAAGTATAACAAAAATGCAGAATGAGTAATTTTTTAAGGTTTATTTGCTTCAACTATTTCCTGGGTGTTGAAATAGTTCATTCTAGCATCCTATGAAAAAGGTTTATCATAAAATGATGAAGTTTTGGATTCGCATTTACAAAAAAAGACCACAAATCTTGCAAAAAAATGACAGACAAATATTAATAATGCTATACATTGACTTTTTAACGCGAAATATATCAATCACCCCAAAAGATGTAGCTTTTTCACACAAAAATCAGTTAAGTGGCATATGAGAATTTCTAATTTTAGATGAGAACGTGTTAAATGTACCTAGGATATAATACCAGAAAAATGGATAATTACTATTGCTGTAATGACCTTTACCAGTAATGCACTTAAGTCTCAATATATAGGTAGTCAAAATTATTTAAATATGTTTTTATTGTTGAATATTCTAGTACAACCATCTTCATTTGCTAAAAATGTTGGTCATTCTTTTCTGGAACATTAAAGACTACTTTAATCTACTACTTCATTTTTCAGCGACTGAAGTTTATTTTGTAGTTTATGGTTTTATCATTTTATTCTTATTGTAAACAAATATTTATGGTTTAAAGATTTACCGGTACAAAATATTTTAGAATTTTATATATATGCCAAAAAACTTAACAAAACGATGTTCTATAATCTCATAATTATGAAAATATTGTTAGTTAACTTATTACTGTACAAATAATATGGCTTTTAACATATCATGTTTTAATTGTTATATAGATGAGATACCAAAAAGACGTAGAGAGACTAGAAGCTGAGAATAAAGACTTAAGGAAACAATTGTTAATTAAGGAAGAAAAAACAGGAAAGAAAGTCAATTGGAGGGTGAGTTTCAAGAAAAAAATGTCAGATGCTAATACTGAATTGATAAACAAGAAAGACCATTTACAAAAAGTTTCCACACACTGAAAGGAGAAAAGACGTTTAAAATAACATTGATTGTAAAGTTTGCAGATGTTGAGTTTGAAGGACAAAGCAAGGGCATAATATTTCAACCAAACGAGAGGCAAATAAGTTAAGCAGAAATTCTATGCTATCAAAAGGAAATTGAACGTTTTAAAAACAACATAAAATTGAAAAATACTTAGTAAAAGAACTCAGACATGCATGAATGTTCAATGAAATATAAGTAAAGGTATGGTTCTGCTTGTCATTTATCAAATCAGAACATTGTTCAATTATAATTTTCCAGACGATTCCTGACACCAACATTTCCATGTGTTTTAATACCTAAACACTATAAACTGAACAGATTGTTGATTAATTTGACTAAATCACATTTTCTTCCAGGTTCCATTTAAATTTGTAAGTTAAGAAATTTTTTCAAATTTCCTATTCTAGTGAATGACACAACAGACCTCATATTTAAAATAAAGTATATATTTTCTGAATGTGAACACAGACCTGCTACCTATGCATAAGTTGGCTAGTTTGCACTCATTTCCTTCCTGATTTTGTAAAAAAGGGAAACAGTTATGCATTAAACTGCTCTTTGTCTTTTAAATATCTCACACAGATTATATTGAAATATACTATGAAAGTCTTAGAGTTATGAAATGATATGAGTTTTGAAGATTATCTAAACCATTGATTTTATTAATTAAATTCGAGATTTTGTTTTGACATTAACTTTTAGATTTAAAATTCACGATGTTAAGAACCTTGAAACAAGCCAAACAAGACTTAAAACTGCATAACCACAAGTAAAAACTACTCTTGCAACAGATCTGAGCTACATTCTTTACAGTGAATATAATATATTTTGGTGTAGAAAGACAATTTTGATATATAAACTCTACATTAGACATTTACAGACATTCATATATTTTTTTTAATTCTATTTGTTTAATGTTTGAGAAGTAATAAGTCAAGAAAAAAAAATGCTTTTCATTTGAATTGAATTTTACAACTTAATTTAGATCGAGGGTAAAATTATAACTACTTATCATTCCTTTAATCACTACTTTGTGTCTGGAAATTAGATAAAAACTAATTGATATTTTTGGGATTTATTTATTTTTTGACTTCAACAGTGTACATAGCTTTTGATATGAACATGCTGGATATAAAGTTTTGTTATCTCCCTTGTCTTGAAAGACATTTTTTAACTGAAACTGCAAAAACAAAACAAAACTTTTAGTGTCTCATATCCTAGACCTGAAATGGTTTGTGCTTTTGTTCTCAGGACTTAATTTAAAAAAAAAGTTTTTAGTGATTAAACTATGTAAGTCCATGATGTTATCTTTATAAATTCATTGATATAAGTCAGAAAAGATAAGTTGAGAAAAAAATACTAATCATACTTTGTAATATGGAAATTTCAGAATATTTGGTGTTCATATCTTTGTTTTTCAGAAATACCTTTTTAGTAAAATTAAATTTATTTTGTGATTTTTTTTATTTTTGCAGAAGTCCTTAATAGATATGTACTCCAATGTATTAGATTAACTATCAGGATATGATTCAACATACAATACACAAGATTACTTACCTAGGGTAGGTACATGTAGATATTATTCCACATACAAAACACAAGATTACTTACCTAGGGTAGGTAGATATGATTCCACATACAATACACAAGATTACTTACCTAGGGTAGGTACATGTAGATATGATTCCACATACAATACACAAGATTACTTACCTAGGGTAGGTACATGTAGATATTATTCCACATACAAAACACAAGATTACTTACCTAGGGTAGGTAAATATGATTCCACGTACAATATTCAGGATTACTTACCTAGGGTAGGTAGATATGATTCCACATACAAAACACAAGATTACTTACCTAGGGTAGGTAGATATGATTCCACATACAGTACTCAGGATTACTTACCTAGGGTAGGTAGATATGATTCCACATACAATACTCAGAATTACTT